TTGGCATAGACGATGGTGATGATGCATAGTTTACACTTCAGCTCAATAATTTAACTTGCAATAATGCTACCCATTTCTGCAGCGAAGCGCTAATCTTGACTCCCCCCCCCCCCAACCCTTCAACCCTGTCTCCATTAACCCCCTCCCCACTCCCCCTTCCCTGTTCCCCCACACCCCTCCCTTTAATTAAATAAACTTAGGACTTGCGTGTAACGTGGTTCATGTGTCTTGCCAAAAAAAAATTCTTATATACGTATAAGATATGTAAAAAACAAAACATTAAAAAAAAATCTTTTTACCAATTTCATTCATGTTGCAAGGATTAGCAACATCCTTCAGCAATTGGCAAGAAGATTACATACCTCACTGCAGAATTGCTATATACGTAAATTTAACTGATCTCTTTAGCGTAAAAATAATAACTATAATACTAATGATAATGATAATAATAAGACGAAGATCTTAAGACTTCAAAGAAAAAGCACTTTTGCATATCTGCTCCTTTGTCTTTATCGTAGGAGCAACCACAAGACTTAGTATGACTGTTTTTGATTTTGTTTTGAGTCTTTGTTCACATCCCTTTCTGCCAAGGATGATGGTAGACCAGCCTTCTCCACGTAACAATTCTAAACCAAGTAGGCCTCTTGTACTCATTTCAGACTTAGGTCTACTTGAAAAGAAATGACTTAACAATTCTCGTCCGATGAAGCTACGTGTCGGGAAATGATTTGGTGTCGTGGTATTTTTCAACTCGAAGACAAAAAAGGTTTGGCTTCATTGGCTTAGGAAGTTGAAGCGAAGTGGACGGAACTGTGTCGGATCTAATGTCTACCTCTTTCTCCTATTTTTTAGTGGGGGATGATTTAAAAAAAAAAGAAAGAAATATATATTTCGATCTTGTCTCGTTAGTAATAAAGAAGAAATCAATAAAGTAGGTAGGCTGGTTAAAGACGCGATGAATAGAAAGAAGAAGAAGAAGCATAACTACGAATTTAATAATGGAGGTTAACGGTGAGTTTTTTTGTTTTTTTTTATTCCGAACAAAAAGAAACATGGCGTTTTTGTCATAGTGTCGGAGTAAGAAGAAAGCGTATTCATTAGTGTAAAAAAACAACAAACAAACGTGTGTATTTAGTTTAACATAGCCTGGAGGGAGAAAAAAATATACAAGCTCGGAAAGTCCACCCAGAATAGGTTCTAGTGTTACTTTTTCCCGTTTTTTTTTTACAAGATGAATTCCCTTCTTATTTCTCTTATTTACTTATCTTTTTTATTCACCAACTTCTCCGTTTTTATTTTATTTTCTTTTTTATGTTGTTAAAGGGTGGCTGTAACTCCTACCAGATGGGAGATGTTAACCACAGTTCCTAGTTGCTCTTACCAACCATAGATGGCGTGGTGTGCACAGTTGATGAACTGAGTCGTTGTTTCTGGTGCTGAAAAAAAAACAATAACAACAACACCCACTCGATGTTTTTTCTTCCCAATAGATGGCGGCTTTCGCAAGGGTTTGACTGCTTTATTATTTGTTTAAAATATATTTTTGTTTACTTATCTACACATTTATTTCATGTAGTCAAGACTTAGAAAGATTAACCTAATTTTGATATAATGATACTATTGTTTTCATAGTTTTGTAATGATTTTTTTTTTTTTACTTTTGATATAGACATGTTATCCATCTTTGTAGAGAATGGTTATTTTTTTTCTTTCTTTCTTTTTTTTGATACGGAATAGATATTTTAGCGTGTAAGTAATCCCTCTAAATTTGAGATAATGGTGTTACTTCTTAATTTATCTCTTTAAATACAGTGTATGTCAATTGTGTGATAAGAGTCATGCAAAGTTCAAAGTGTCGGCTGACCCAAAAACTTCTTCAGTGTTATTAGTTTTAAAAATAAGGGCTTTGTAGAATCTATGGTTTTAACTGTTATTTAAATTACTGTTTTACAATTTTGCAAATGCCTTTTTATACGAATATTTGTTTTCCTTTTTTTTAACGTTTGAACTTGTAGATGCATAACTATTTTTTTTTCAACAAATGTAAGTTACTTCGATTTTTTTTTGCTTTTGTACTTGACTAGCCTTACTTATAAAAAATAATAGTAGTAGTAATAGCTGAACATATAAGTATAAGAAACAAATCACTTATTTATACTCATTAGCTTTCACGTTTTCTTCAATACCATTATATAATTATCTATAATTATCTATAATTTACAGATGAAGGTATATATTTAAACTTTATGTGAGATGTAAAAATGAAAATTTCAGTTATAGTGAATTGACTAAGTAATTTTGCGTCGATTTTTCTATGATCTAGTCAGAATAAAGATGAATTTTAGAATGCATCGGGAAGAAGAAGAAGGAGGAGGAGGAGGAGGAGGAGAAGAAGGAGGAAAAATAATCATCTTATTTTATTTTTCTACCATTTCCGTAGCGAACAGATAATAATTATAACGAAGAAAAAAAAAATTCTCTAGAAGCTAAGAGAAGCGTT